TTGTCCAGGTATTTGTGAAACAAACTGTCCAGCACCTTTGCTGATATGGTTGCCAGCGATATGCGCCTATAATTAGATAGATCCGCCGTATCACCAGTGCATAGGTTATAGAACATCGCAAGCACTCGCGGTAGGTGCACACCTGCGTGTTGCAAATGCTCAATATTGAGGCCATCATAGCCAGGACTGCGCTTCTAATTTACTGGTGTCACTACTCACAAATAATGCCAACACTAAATCAGGAGCACATATTGTAGTATAATTATGGAGATATGCATATACAGATACCCCTACAATAGACACATCGATTGATAAGAGCATTTACGACAATATACATACTTTTATAAAAATATTGAAGAAAAGTCGTCCAAGCCGATGCATCCACTAGAGAAAACATCCCGTACACATGTACACACATACACTATATAACTATTTGTGCTAATATATCCACTATATATAATATATATAATATATATCCACTAACTAATTGTGATATACCATATATATAATTTTTAATATACAGGAAGATTTTTTAAACACTATCCAAAATTTCATATTATGATCTGCAATGAAAATAATTATATACGTATTTTTTCTTTTAGTATCATTCAGTACTAAAATATTGAGATAAGGCATTACAAAATTATCCAAAAAAATCCTGACGTAAATGGTCACCGCGCATTGCGCTTCCGCCCCCCGCCCCGCCATTTGATTGATAACAAATAATAACATCCATAAGTTGCAAATTTTTCCTTCATACTTTAACGGGCTTAGGACCGTCAGATCGCAAAAGGCATTATTGTACCTACCTAAATTTCATAGTGATAAGGTAGTTTAGGTTACTCGTTAACGTTTAAATTAGCTAGGTAGTAGGTAGGTTTAAATTACTCAGAAGGCAATTTTACAAAGTAGGTAGGTAGGCAGCACCTTTTGCAATAAGGCGTATTTAAAAAATTTGAATCAACTTAGAATGTACAATAATTAAAATCAATGAAATTCAACTTGCCTACAATAAAACAAAAAAAAAAGATTAAAATCCTAATAACTAAGTGTATTTTAGCAATTGTTCAAAATGCAAACCATTTCTCTCTAAACAGAGTCCAGCACGTTTCTGCACATTGTCTTTCAATTTATTAAGCACTACAGTGTCTCTTTTCACTTCATCAAACGCGCGTATGATTTGCAGTTTTAATGCGTCTAGGCTTTGAGCCTCTTCCACATACACACGTCTTTTAATTTCACCCCACAAAAAAAAGTCACATGGAGTCAGGTCCGGTGAGCGCGCTGGCCACGGGACGGGGCCTCCGCGGCCGATCCAGCGGTCGCCGTGCTCAGTGCCGAGGTATTCGCGCACCGCGGCGGCGTAGTGAGGCGGGGCACCGTCTTGTTGGAAATAAAAGTCGCGCAGGTGCACGAGGGGCACCTCGTCCACAAAGTCCGTGATCACCGTACGCAACATATCCAGATACGTGCCACCGGTCAAGCGTCTCTCGATAAAATACGGCCCAAGTACTTTATTGCCTACGATACCGGCCCACACGTTGGCACTAAAACGCACTTGATGATAGGTTTCCCTTATCATGTGTGGGTTTCGGAATGACCACCAGTGTTCGTTGTGCTGATTGTATAATCCGACACGCGTAAACAAAGCCTCATCGGTCCACATTATAACGGCCGTCGGGTGCGCAATTAGCCACTCGCAGAAGGCTCGGCGGGGCGCAGCATCTGCATCACTTAATGCTTGCACCTTTTGGAAGTGGTAAGGGTGCAACCCTGCGGTGTTGAGCAGCTTCCAGACGGCGTACTGGCTGACCTCGAAGCGTCTCGCTGCATCTCGAGTACTTGCACGAGGGTTTCTTTCGAAAAAATCGAAGATTTCTTCCTCGATCTCTACTGGCAGTCTTTGCCTTCCACGCCCTTGTGCATGTGAAGGAGAAGTGAACTGGCCATGATCTAACAGCCTTTGATTGGCAGCGAGAATCGTGGCACGGTTCGGTATCGAAGGATTCACTACACCTTGGTTGCGAAGGCGAGAGAGGCTTTCCGCTTCGTACAGTCTTTGAGCTCCGTTCAAACTTTCGCCACTTAATAAATAACATCGCACCATTTCATAATATTCGCGGTTTGAGTACATCGCGGGGGCTGCGTTATGTATCGCAATTCGCACGAGATAACACGCTTTCGCCGGGCGAAAATGCGCGGGCGACTGCGTGACCTTTGTGCGTGACTTGTCGCCGCTCCCGGTACCCCTCCGCCCTCCCCCGCAACTAGCCCTTCCCGTCTCCGCGCCGCGCGCGCAGGTGTGTTGATTGATGTTGCCGCCTTGCGTACTAGAGAAATTTACGCTAGAAATGGTTACCACGCTTTATTGATTATTGGATCGGGACAATTATTTTATTGTGAAAATATGACCTACATATTTTATTTCAGAAATGGGTTCTATTAACGATACCTAATGCCCAAAAAAAATTTGGATAGTGATTAAAAAATCTTCCTGTATATAAATATATAAATTTTAACTGCCTCTGTGGCCAAACGGTTACCATGCCGGACTGCCACGCGGAGGTCCCAGGTTCGATTCCCGGGTCGGGAGAAATATGTGTATGGCCTACATTTATTTCTCTCGTGAGTTTGGGTGTAATTTGTGGTTGTCTATGTGTGTGTCCATGGCACCCGCGACACAGGGTTTCCCTAGTGCGGGGCTATGTTGAGTGTGTGCGTAAAAAAAAAAAAAAAAAAATATCGTGTTTCTTTTGAAATAACTAAATATATAAATAGAATTTGATCTTTGAACTAAAAGGGCTTATAAGTAATTGCCCACTGGTTATGGAATTCTATTTACCCGATTTTTTAATTTATTGATAATCAACTTTTTGAAAATGCAAACGCGTGTGCCATGAATATCAATGGCATTAAATGCATTATTAAAGGATTTTTTTGCCTATACAATGGCGATCGCTTGCCAGTATTTGTACGACATTTGTGAGTAGCAAACAGGTGATGAGTCCGTGATGAACGCATGGGGACTTTGTACATAAGTCATACTAATAATCATCATCATAATCATAGTGTAGATCTAACAAATTATATTTTTCAAGAAGTTGGTCATATTTAATTGTATTACCCTTACATCTATACTTTACGCAACGTAGAATTTTTTTGTGCACCCTCTCAGTGTTACTTGTGCATATTTTGTAATAAGGATTCCAATTGGCACAGCGTATTCTAATTGTGATCTAACAAGGGACTTACATAAAATTAAGAAAGATGAGGGCATTTTAAATTCCATGCTGGGGCGCATAACAAAACCATATGATTTGAATGCTTTATTGATGATACTCTCAACATCTGTATCCAAATGTAACTTCGAATTAACTATCACTCCCAGGTCTCTAATAGCATTAACATCATCCAGTTTTACTCCACAAAGCTTATATGAATGTCCCAAATATGATTTTTTCTTAGAGAATGTTATTTTTTTACGTTTGTTAAGACTCAGACTTAGTTTATTTTCAGTACCGAAAGTGGTAAAGCGATCGAGGCGTCCTAAAAAGCATTCAAGATCCTGAGTACATTTTCTGTTCCTTTCATTTATTTTTTCCTTCCTCTAAGGCTAATTCTGACAGTCTCCGACTCCATAGCCTTTAATCACAATCTTTTGTGTACGATTATATATATATGATTAGAACCAGCGCAAAAGGTTGCCAGGGATACCATTGAACGCGATTTTTTCAAGTAGCCTCTTATCCCTGTCAAATGCTTTCTTATGCTTATTTGAATCCATGTTATGAAATAAATGAGTTGTGTAAATAAGTAAGTTAGTTACAGTGGACCTCCGTTGCACAAAGTCATGCTGCTGTGGAATAATAGTACTGTGAAGTGAGGGATATATAACACGATGTACTATTAGTCTTTCATAGATCTTAGATACAGTAGGTAAAATGGAAACAGGGCGGTAATTTTCAGCATTTTGCTTAGGGTCTCTCTTGTGCACGGGCACAATACGAGCTGCTATTCATTTGGGAATACTCCTTCACTAAGATATTTGTTAAACAAAAATGGCTTGTAAATAGTTTTAGCTGTTTCTTAAAAAGATAGCAGGCAATTTATCTGTGCCAGGGCCTTTTGTTGTGTCTAAATTACTTAGCTGTTTTATAATGTCATGTTCAGATATTACTGTATCACATATGTTATTATCATGATTATAATTATGGTTACATTTTGAATCTAACTCTTCAATCTTAAAATTACAATTCTGAGGGAACAAAGACCGACAAGAAAACATGTTACATATAGAAAGAGGTTCACTTACTGTTTTATTTTTGTAGGTATTCATGTCTTCCTAAGTCTTCCTAATACTCAGTGATTTTGCCCCATTACTTAGAGGAGAACACCGAATGCACAATAATCTGTTTATTTATTTCTACATAATGTTGACTTTCTACAAAGTAAACTTCTAGATCACGTGTACCATCCAATTCTTCAACAGTTTCTCACATTAAGCTATATTTAGTAAGTATAATATTTCTGTTTCTAATAAATTTTACGTGATTGCATTTCTTAATGTTTAAAGCCATCCTGTACCACACGCACGAACTTGAAAGCCGAATCAGCTAAGTCTTGAACAGACTTTATGGCCTTAAGATCATCGGCAAACGAATATGTTTTTGAATCGTTAAAAAACATGTATAGATATCATTGGTAAATAGTATGATATGTAGTATGACATGACATTGTTAAAAGGTAAAGACCCAGATGAGATTCTTGCTTAATGCCAGACGTTGTCTCGTAAGGTATTCAACTAAAATCGTTTATCATTACACTCAATCTTGGTTGGGGGTACCTTTGTAATATTTTTGCAGTCCAAAGTCTACCTGTCAATATGACCACCTCATTTCCACTTATGGAATGTCCAGGATATTTTCTTAATTCTTTAATTTTTTATCTTGTAGTTACCTCACTCGTATTACTTCTATTTTTTTGCATTAACATTGTTGCAGGTGAGCAGGTGCGCATTGTGAGCTACAACAAGAGCGGCGAGTGGTGCGAGGCGCACACGCTGTCGGGCGGCGTAGGTTGGGTGCCCAGTAACTACGTGACGCCAGTCAACTCGCTCGAGAAACACTCGTGGTATCACGGCCCAATCTCACGTAATGCAGCAGAGTACCTGCTCTCTTCGGGGATCAATGGGAGCTTCTTGGTGAGTGGACGGCTCCTTCCATTGCTAAGCTGCTGATGCTGAGCGCACAGGCTTGGTCTTGGTGAACAGCTGAAATGGACTGGTCACGACTGTTGGAGAACTAATGTATATTGAACCCTTACGATGTAGATCCAGTGCGAACAAAGTGTAGATTTTTCCTAGGAGGCACAACGATATGGTTGAAGTGTAATGTGGAGTGAACTGTTTGTCAACAGGTGCGCGAGTCCGAGTCGAGTCCCGGGCAGCGCAGCATTTCTTTGCGCTACGAAGGGCGCGTGTACCATTATCGCATCAATGAGGACTCGGATGGCAAGGTGTACGTGACGTCGGAGAGCAAGTTCGGCACGCTAGCTGAGCTAGTGCATCACCATTCAATGCTGGGTGATGGGCTGATCACGCAGTTACTATATCCAGCACCAAAGCGCGACAAGCCCACCGTATTCCCGCTCGCACCGCCTGACGAGTGGGAGATCGACCGCACCGACATTGTTATGAAGCACAAGCTCGGAGGCGGGCAGTACGGCGATGTCTACGAGGCAGTTTGGAAGCGCTGCAACATCACGGTTCGTCTACACTTCATAACTCACGATCATAACCCTCCTACCAAACGTACATTATTACCATTATTTTTTTCTTTCTTGGTTCTTTTCCTAAAAACAATTTAAAAAATGAGACAACTTTTGACAGAATTACACGGATAGCATACTCAACCCGCCAATATTGTAATAGTTTGCAGTACTTGTGCTACTTATAATCATTTTTACCAAATCCTTAATAAAATCTGGATAAAATATATATGCTCTTATATTAGTATACTGTACGCTTATCATATATGGACGTAATTTATACATAACAAACTTAGTTTTAGTTTGTTGATGTGGTTACATTCTCGCAGCTTTCCACCTTTAGACACAACTTTACGCACATTCTGTTATTACTTAAATTAAAATTAAAAAGGAAACAAACAGTTACTTGAAAAAGTGAATAAAGTTAGTATCAGCACGACACTTCTACTATAAGTAGGTAAGGAGTTCGGTAGTCTGCAGAATGTCCTGGTTGCAGCATCAAATCATAGTTATCATATTATTGTTACATCGTCAGGTTTACATAATATACCTGATTTCAAGTCGCTCAGATAAGTGGAATGTGAAATAAATGTTCATATTATGATTGAGAATCCCTAAACAGACACACAGAACAAAATGCGGTAGCTTGTGTTATATTGGTAATTTGTTTTGAAAAAAAAAAAGGAAATGTTTTTAACTATTTAATACGTATTTTTATTTAATACGTTTGCTTATAAACAATTTTCTGTTTTTAAATTTAACAAAAAAAATAGAACGTACGTGAAGCACTAATACTCTAAAGTACTAATAAAGAACCTTGTAATCGAAATGCGTACTGAATAGCAAGGTACCACATTCGTCTCGCAGCACAGTTGTTAAGAAAGTGAATTGGCGTGTCAGGTAGCGGTCAAGACGCTGAAAGATGACACAATGGCGCTAAAAGATTTCCTGGAAGAAGCGGCGATCATGAAGGAGATGCGGCACCCGAACCTCGTCCAGCTGCTGGGCGTGTGCACGCGCGAGCCTCCTTTCTACATCATCACAGAGTTCATGTCGCGCGGGAATCTACTCGAGTACCTGCGCGCAGGCGCGACTCGCGACCGCGTTGACGCCGTCGCGCTCATGTACATGGCCACGCAGATTGCTGAGGGCATGAGCTACCTAGAGAGCCGCTCCTTCATACACAGGTGTGATCTCCTACTATATACTTTTGCGCATGAGCTCGTATATACATATGAATAGCAACTAGCGTTCAATATCGTCTTAGCATTTGCAATTAATTAGAATTTTTTATAAGTGTATGGGTCATTTTACTCCATACATAGATTGTAGGGGTAGCATACAGAGCAAGACTTGCAAAGAAAATGGTAAAAGTACTTTGGTTTGGTGACAAATCTTTCGTTGTTGTAGTGTATCGGTGTTGGTAACGTCTGTTCCAATCCAATTTCAACAAAAGTAAACAAACCCGTTTGGTTAAAATTCTAAAGCAGTCACTCAATAAATCGAATAAGTAACGCTTTCATGTATATTTCGAAGTTTTTGACTTGATATCTCATCACTTATTCCAACAATATTCATTTGAATAGCATCGTAAAATCGTATTTGAAAAATGGTGGTACAAAAGTGAGGTTATTTTTCATCTATATTTCTATGACTTGTCTATGGTTGCATAGTGCTGTACGAAAAAAACATTCCGTTCATTCAATTAAGTTTTTGTAATCGATTGGTAAATCGAAAATTTCAATTGCAATTGAACGAGTATCTAAGTGTAAAGATTTGAAGGAGGATTTAAAATTAAGATTTCGGAAATTTTAAATATATGCTTTTATAGGTTATGTATTTTTACTATTCATATAAGTAAAACTGCTAGTATGACTCAATTAAACAAATCGATTCATTCGATTAATTAATTAATCGATTTTTAGTTTGCATTATAATTAGCCATCGCTAAATCGTCTATGGTCAGGTCAGTGACATGTTTGTTTCTTTTTGTTTAAAATGGATTGAAACGAATAATACTACGTAAAATAAATTGTGAATTACGTACTTAAGTTAAAGTGCGGCACGTGGCTAAAGTAGATCGCCGCGTGTGCAGAGTTATATCGAGGAATGTATGAGACCATACAATAAGTTTGTATTGACTTGTGTAGCGCTACGTATTTCTGACAGCACCCGGATATACATTAATAGTGATTTGAATCGATAAGAATATGATTGGTTGTGCAGGGATCTCGCGGCGCGCAACTGTCTCGTAGGTGAAGGACACCTAGTGAAAGTAGCGGACTTTGGCCTTGCTCGGTTGATGCGCGACGACACGTACACGGCGCATGCGGGCGCCAAGTTCCCCATCAAGTGGACAGCACCCGAGGGGCTCGCTTACAACACCTTCAGTACCAAGTCGGACGTTTGGGCGTTCGGCGTGTTGCTTTGGGAGATCGCCACCTACGGCATGTCACCGTACCCCGGCGTCGACCTCGCTGACGTCTACCACATGCTGGAAAAGGTATTCATTTGACTAAGTCTTGTAACGTACTAGATTCAAATATGAGTATAATTTTGTTTTAATCCGAATAAATCTGCCCTCTTCACGCCACAATATAAAGTACGCGTCTTTACTTGGACATCTAGTGCGTTTACTTGTTTCCGATATTTGATAAGAAATCCGCATTTCGTACTTTTTCGCATACTTTTATTCCTTGTAACTTGATAATGTACTGTCAACACGTAATAAACCTTGGTTTGGTAAATGTTTGTACTCAAGATAACCACTTATTTTGGTATTCGTCTTGTAAAACAATACAATTACAACAACAATTAATTAGGTTACTTTTTAGATACCTTATGCGATAGAAAAACTAGAAGGTACTTTAAGAACTAGACAGGACAGGAACATAAGGTATGTACTAGGTACATACTATAACTAATAGCAATCTATTGTCTTATGCCCGTATTTATGAACAAAGATAAGTCCGACTTAAACATAAAAAAAGTCTCAAGGACGACTCAAGTCAATAATTAATATTTATGAACGATTTTTATGTCCCATCTCAATCTTGTATAAAAGTATAAGCACTTGTATAAAACCAGTGTTAAGTCTGACTTGGAAATATGTTAACATTTTTATCACAGTGTTATTTGCGTTTTTTCTTGAGTTGCTCTGACATTTTTTATTTTATTTTAAGGTAGATAACCTTTATCATATTTTGTTTATACATTTATATTAAATTATTATAAAAAATGACGGTTTTGAGGCCTTCACGTCTAATTATCAGGAGAACAAAGATGATTACCATAGTTTAAGAGCTATCGACTTTTTTCGGTTTCTCATTTCACATAGCTTCAGAAAAGTGCAATGGAACCTACTTTGTCTGTTGTTTTGGTTTCTCATTTCACATAGATTAAGATAAGTGCAATGGAACCTTCCTATTTTGTTTCTGAACTTACTTGGAGAGAACCCAAGAAGTTTCATACTTCAATTATTTCAACATACAGTTCAACAAATTGTAATTTAAAGAACTAAGTCGTATTCCTACAACAAGTGATACAATAAAACAGAGCGAGATAACTCTAATCTTCATTGATTTTCATCTTCATGTTCCAGAGTTTCCAAGAAATAGTTATAAACACCATTTTCCCACTAGTGCAAGTCCAGCCTTATTAATAAATTATTGTATTTAAAATCGAATATAAAAAAATCAATATAAATTGCACCTACTTATATCTAATAAGGTCAAAACGGTAGGTCAATGGTTAAAACTGTTGACTTTTTAATTTTTTTCTGCTGAAGAAAAGGTAAAGGTTTGTTTGTTAACTGCCATAAACAATAGTCCATAGACTACAAAACAATTAGCAAAAATTCCCGCCTTTCATTTTTTTAGGAAACAAGTATTGTCATTGGCTACCGGCTTCAAAGTAAAATTTGAGACTGGCATTCGATTAGCGAGCTAAAACATGGTCATAAATATCACAAACAACACCAAGTTGCAGTTAGCAAAAAATTCACTCAAGTCGATCTTAGTGAAGGATTTTCTTAATCTCTTTCTTCTTAATCTCTGTAATTCGAAATTTTTATGTAGCAAAAGGCAAACGTAAACATTCGTTTTACGTATATATATATATATATATATATATATATATATATACATATATATACACACGTAGGCTTCTGATGGCCCCCATTTTCAACGCGCCACCACGCGCCATTTTGCCGTGGGAAGAGGACCTCCCGACCGTGCACTGGTGGCCGGTGGTCGCCTGTTTTTTGGATCTGCCGAGTGTCGGTAACTTCAAAGGCGCAGCGCGAAAACCTATAGTAAGAATACGTAAAACAAACTACTTATTTTCAATTCAATAAATCTTAACAATTTACCACTACTTGCTTTTGTTGAATAATGACATGCACCAGTCGTTTCTTTTGCTTTTTTTTAGTACGTTATAACTGCATAATATAAATGTGGCTGTAGAAATAGCTATGCGTTCTTCGTATGGTATTTTCGAACGGTAGCTCGAATCACACTAAGCTCTCGATACACATCTGAATACGCGCTACCACGCGCCGCAAAAATTGGCGACTACGGGCCACAACGCGCGCACTCGGGAGGCCCTCTTCCCACGACGCCGTTATATAGGCCATTTTAACATAAAATATGAGATTTCATTTCGTTTGTTTCGGCGCTACGCATTGTAATAATCAAATAATATATTCCATGAATATTACTCTTGAATCTTAATTACACGAAAAGTTATATCAATGTAATCAATATGCCTCGAAATTGCAGTACGCTTAGTAACATATGTGTTGCTATGCGTCAGGTGACACAAAGCGTGGAAATTCGTATTCATGTTGCCCGATGCATGCTGACTGCGAACCAAAGCGCGGAGTGCCAACCATAGATATAGGAACAAAAGGGAGATATGTAATGACGCTATGTAAGATCGGGTACCGATGTCGCCACTTTTTAGCTTGTGTGCAATTCAAACATTACGCTCTTATTAAAATATAAGCAAAATAGGCGCCTTGACGTCGAGATGCGGACACCAGCCCGTTACATCAAGAACCAAGTACCATAACTTAACGATTTTGATTGTTAGGGCTTAAAACATGAACACGACGTAACAATTTTATTTTTTAACAAAATTAAACTTACAGTCACTTGAGTATTGCAATATTTCAGTATTTTTTCATCCTGGTTCAACCATTCACCATCAGGTGGCGTTTTAGTAAAAATGCTACTAGTATATGATAGCTAACTATTACACGTTAGATGGCGCTGAAACTCATTTTTCGTAACACTAAGTACTCACGGAGCGGTTTTCACCCGTGTCTGCCGCGGGACCGCTTCTTCTCTTTTCCACCCGCCGGACGAGCTTCCGTAGAATGTAATAGTTAAGTTTATACAATTAGTAGCACATTTCACGGCGCGTTTTGCGCCTGTAGTGGTGACGTTTGCTCGCGGTTGCCGAGGCGGAGTATTAGTGGCTGACTTCAGGCGCACGGGGGGTGAGTTCTCTAATAACCGCGCGACTTGCGATTATCTCTAACTAAGCTCGCGGTCCGTTCCGCAATCGCAGCAGCTTTCGTGCCCGCAACCGCGGCGACTACGTGCCCGCATAAACTTGCAGGGTCGTGAGTATTGAAATAAAACCGCTGTCCCGCAGCACCGGCGGGCGCTGATGGATACCGCTCCGTCATTTGTTAACCTTATTATCTTAAACTGACGCTACTCAACAAGGGCTGTGGTTGTACTTAATCAATAGTCAGGATCCATTTGGCTGTTTTTAATAGTAAAAAAATATTCTATTTTTCATACTATACCTACACTGGTACTGGTGTATTATTAAATTAACAAACTAGGCTTGGGCCAGTGTCAGTTTTCCATTATACGTTACTATGGGTTGGTGAAGCTGTCACTGTCAAGCGTAAACTCGATCCCTCGACGAATTTAATAAATTATATTAATATATTATGTTGTTTTGTTATGAAGGATTTATGTAACTTCCTAGAATTGTTTCTAATTTATTTTGCACGCACATGTAAAATAAAACCGATTTTATTTTGTATATTTTTTAAAAGCATTTTCTATAGAAATTTAAACAAAGTCAGCAACAATAATAAGAAAACAAATCTTTCTATTTTTTGCAGCTTCAATGCAACCTTCTTTTATTTGAACTCATTGGAAAGACTTAAAAATTAAAAATACTCTACGTTTAATCTATGAGTATAATGGAATTTAAATATCCAAATTATCTAAAACAATTATACATATACATTTTTCTTAAAGCAACAACAACGTACAAATTGACATGATATGGAAACGGGTGTCCGAAATATGAGTTGTGTTAAAGTTACTCGAAATAAAATGTTTAGTAATAATAATAATAATAATAATAAAATAAAATGAATCAATTTACCGTGAACGCTTTTCGCTTCGACATTTTAAGGACTTTAATTACAAAAATTAAAACATTTTAGTAAAAATTAATTGTCGATAATATCAATCACCGTAAATGAACATCACTATATTTGAGTTTAGAAATTTCTATGGAGACCAAAAGAAAACATTGAACAATAATAAAAACAGTAACTAATAATGCTAATAGCCGGTCGTATGTTATTCCACTGGTTTTAAAATTTATGTTTTCACTCCCAATTTTTACAAGGTATATTGCTACAACTTGTAATTTTCACGTTTTACGAGAGATCTTGTCAGTACAACGATCGCTATGTCGCTGTAGCGATGTTTGAAGGAGTGTCGCCTCGATATGTGCATTTTGACCATATCGAGGCGACACGCACCACGCCCTCATACCAAATTTCCCCTCTATATCTATGGTGCCAACCCCGTGATCGTGTGAACCATTTTGCGTACTAAACTACTGCCACTTATTTTTATTATAGAAAGTATTTTTTTCAGATTCATGATTTGAATTCATCATTTGAAATGAATAAAATTGGCACGATTATAGTTATTAACTGAAGGAAAATTATTAGCATCTGTAAAAGGAGTAGATGATAGAGATTCTCTTTGCGGATTGCATGGCCTTGAAGGATTCGAATTCATATTATTAATTGGATTTGTTCTCCTAAAACAATTTCAAAGCACCCCTAAAATATTTATACGATAATAGGCACACAGCAGTCCTACGCGGAATTTGCGGCGGGAAGACGGCCGGTGTGACACACACATTTTAAAGAAAGGACAATGTCGCTGTCGGATAGCGATCACGATAAATTTTTGCTTTTATTACCGTTATGGAAGCAGCGCAAAAGTATTTCGTGGTCGCATTCATATTGAAACTTAATAACAGCGCACAGTTGTAAAACACGTGCTAGCCCGCTAAAGTCCCGCTTTCGGACCGCGCTCCATGGAACTCCATGGAACGCGCTCCTGGTTTCATGGAACAATAAAATACAACTTCCGCCTCGTGCTCGGCCCCGTACTTCACCACCCCGCCACCCGGTTTCAATATGGCAGGATGCATAAGAACCCGAACATTACAAAAATTCCCGGCTCCGAAACCATTTCTAGTGCCCAGAGCATAACTCACAATCTCACTGATACTCGCGTGCCCTCTCGGAGCGGGTAAAGTCTGATACTGGATGAACTCTGGTTCTTATTCGGTGTGATTTATTTAACAAATTTCTAGAGCATAGGTTCGTTTCTAACCGTGGAAAAACGCACATTGAGTCGCGACCCGATGACGATAAAGATGTCGACGCCCGTGAATAGACTGCAGGCTGACGCAGCCTGACAAGTAATGCAAACGGCGAGTGATTTTAACAATACCTACAACCTAAAAATCTACAACCGACCGACTTGCAGCTTAGAATAATATTGAATAAATTCAGAATGAGAAGTACTTATAGTAAATTTATAGTTAATTAAGTAGATTGCAGAGAGTTTCCTGTATGATACGAAAGCTTATTTTGGGTAATGTCCCTCCTTTCGTCAACGCACACACTTTTTACAAAATACGTATAATTGCGCGCATTTGACGTCAGATATATAAATATATATGAAGATTGCACCTTTTGTTCCATTGAATCTAATGTCACTCGAAATACGTACTTATAAATAAATAAGGTCTTACTTTATAACTTCCAGATCTTCATTTTCGCTTCTGACCATCGATAATATGGCAATAAACAATTTTAACTTAAAAGCTATTTTCACTCGTGACTTCCCAAAATGTCACAACGTCATCACAGTGTTGAGTCAATCGGAATTGGAAAAATTTTATTAACAAATATGCTTGCCCCTATAAGAAACGTCATTGAAATTTTACTTTTGAAAGACCCGAGTCTGGGTGTGGAACTGTACGACAACCTTTTCGTCTTATACTCGACTGCGTAATACGATGTATTGTACTTACGCAGCGGCACAAGAGAAACACATCTAGAAAAGTTGACAAAAAAAGAATTGGAATGAGGCGTTGATAAGCTCGGTTGATAAACTTGCATACGTCGGCGAAATTATGCGTGGATTTTAAAACAACTTATTGTATTAGTGTATAACTGGAAGCGTATGACGCACGAGGCAGCACGATCGCATATGTGCTCGTTCAGTAAAACACGAGAAGAAGGGCACGTGTAACGCTAGGTTATTTTCTATTATTTTATTTTGGTTAGAATATAACGTTTTGAGATGCGCCTGTGCAAAAAGACTCATAGGTTTTAATTAGTTTTATTAAACATAATCTTAACGTCTTAACACGTAAAAAAAGAATCTCGGCCGCGGAGCGACGGGTAACAAAGATGTTAGTTTCCAAACAAGTAGCGCTGTACACTTGGTTGCATTTGATAGGCGAGGGCGGCCGGCGCTAAACACGTTGCGTAACAATGGCGGGCGCGGGCGGGGTGGGCGGTGTGTTTGGCGATAACGTCTAGCAATGTGACGCGTCTGTGCACAGGTGCTTCTTGCAGAGGGTGCATTGCGGGCGGCTCACCGCAATGCGGCTGAATATCTCCGACGCCGACAGCTCCTTGCTCAGCTTGGAGCACATACTGTATGACACCGTCTTTTTGGAGAAGTCCTTGGCAGGCACGCATGTGCGTGCACGCACCGGTCCGATCTCCTGGCCTGTCTCCACTGCAACACAGACGCGCTTAGTTGGTAGGATACGATACGACGTTTAGGGCACGGTGTGCATGGTTTAATACTCACCAAGCTTTGCGGATTCGGAGGTGATGACGATACACAGAAACGCCATGCCTGGGATGTAGCAGTCGATGTTTGGTACCTGCCGGGGTTTCAAAGACCACCCAAGTTATTAACTTCGATTTAGGAGCCGAATCATGCGAGAATTCAAAGTATTCATATTGGAAATCCGTAATAAACAATATTTCGTTATGCGTTTTTCAAACAATAATAAATAAAGAGTCGGATATACAATGAGTAATTGGGTCATGTTGACATAGTTGATTTAATACAATGAAATAACTCACCGTGATATTGGCGTAGTCGGGGTGATCGGGATCCCAGCAGCCAGGGTGGTCGAATGAGAGGCAGTTGTAGCACTGAATGCCCTTCGTCGTCGGGGACACGAATTTCTTTGGCTTCGCCTTCTTATGCTTGCCTGAAAAGTAACATCACAGTGACGCACTATGTTTTCGGTCAAATCGGCGAATTAATCGCAACAATAAAACAGTAAAATAAAAATTACCGAGCACGGTGATTGAAAGCAGCAGGAACGCAAACAGAATGTGCTGCAGGAGCATGGCGGAAGTGTGGAGCGGCAGGGGCACAGGTGGCGTGGGGTGCGACTACGCTCGGCGGCGAGAACTGACCGATCAGTGGCTGCGGCACATGCATATATACCCGGCAGAACAATGCGAGGCGCGCGCATATAGGGTGTCCGCAGCGGTCTCCGCATTACTCTAGCCAACAATTGCGCGCGCTTCGGAGCACTCTGTAGCTATCGAAGCTGACTCGGGTGTGTGTCAGTTCGTCAATGTGTATGTTTATTGTGTTATACAATATTGCAACTGTAGCGACGTCTCACGCCTTAACTATGCGTATACAAACATACACATTATTATTATTATAAGTCTGACTGCAATTCTGTACCCTTCACCCTGAAGCGAGTAGATACTCGGAAGACGAGGTGTTTTGTACCGACCTCTAAGTCTCATTTTGCACGTGTCTAGTCGTGCTCAAAACACGGACTTAAACATGAAAGTTAAGTTATGGAATAATGTGTAGTAGCAAATGATGTTGCTGAGTTGCCGCGACGCTTTCTGAGCTCTGCAATACACGGTCAATGCACTCCCAACGTTATTGATCTAATGTATTACTGCCCAGGGCTACCGCATGGAATGCCCGCCGGGGTGCCCCGCGGCGGTTTACGAGCTGATGCGCGGCTGCTGGCAGTGGAACCCCGCCGATCGACCCACCTTCCAACAGATTCATCATGACCTTGAGCACATGTTCCAGGACCACTCCATTACCGAAGGTACGTAAAGTGATCTTTATACGTCTAAATGAAGGGTACGAATCTCCTAAAGGGCGAGGTCATAGTACCTTTACTTCGGTACGTATCCTCACGTGCCTTCAAAGAATTTTGAAGATCTGCTGACTATGTTCTCCTGACTTGCACATGATTAGAATACTTTCAATGCAGAAGACCCAAAAGCATTCCCTATCAATTGCAGTAATTTAAACTTTTTATATAAGTATTTACCGTTGCTTAAAGTCGAATATTTGAGTATTAATTACGTCAGCGCCACGAACGGTCACTTTAAAATCTTAACGTTATACGTAAACCTGTAAAGTATTGTAAATATTTACATATTTCGTATACTTTGGACACTTCAACACAAAAGGCCAGGCAAATTACAGTAAAAGCATGTGACTTTTAGCTCGCCAACCGTTATTCAGCAGATTTCAGCGGCACCTAGAGCGTCCAATTGGCCAATTACCTGCCCCGTCAAATTATTAATTGTCGATTTATTATAATTGCCCGAACCAACGCAATCTCGCAGCCTTGTATCACAAAAATGCATTACATATCAAATTTGTGTTATTTGTTTACATGTACGTCAAGAAGTGCAACCGAGTCGTATTGGCCGTGTCAAATTTATTCGTATAAAGACAAACATTAGTTATTTTAATTAAAGAAAGTGTAGCATTTTGTATAGTTTTATTAATATGTAAAAATTCATGTTTGTAAGCTATAATGTAACATATATGTACATAAATAGAGCTTTCTCCTTAATATTCTATGGTTTTTTGTGTACCAAAACGGACCGTAAAATCTGTGCATCATAACTATCATGAGGCATATTTCATTATTTTGATTCCGTGTAGGGTTGGTCATGCCAAAAGCACTAAATATTCATGATGGTTAAAATATAGTTTTTCTTTGCTCCACTTTAATATAAAATGGGGTTAACAAGCCCTTTTGAAGTCAACATGGTCTTAAAATTCCAGCCAGATCAGGCCACGTGGTCAATTGCACTGCCACAGATTGCACACACTGTATATGGGTACATAATATATACTTAATATTTTATACTTTACAGTTGTTACGAGTGAGTTCAATTATGAATTTAATATTTCCGTTAATAAACAAAAAATCGGTCTCATTATTAACTACCAAATATTTTGCTGTAAAATAAATTTATTGGTCTTTATTTCACAGAAGTGGAGAAACAGCTACAGGAGGGCAGTAGTGGCGGGGGCAGCGGAGGGAGTACGCCGCTTATGGCGGTGAAAAAGGCAGGCGGCGGTGTGCAGATGCGCCGCCCCACTAACCGGCGCGGCAAGCAGGCGCCGACACCACCCAAGCGCACCAGGTATAATGTGTACCATTATTTGTTTTCTTTGTAATGACTCTGTGCTCTCACGTGTGACTTGTTGCAGCCTGCTGTCTTCGTGCAGTTCTTTCCGCGAGTCGGCGTGTGCGGCCGAAGAGGGCGACACGCCAGCGCACCACCACCTCGCTTCGCTTAACGGTGAGTAAGCTGCGACTTCGTTTTTATTTATACTCACCGAAAATGCAATATGCCACGCTTTATTCACTTGGACCAAATGAAGAATATCGCATAGCGGATGTCAAAAAAAAAAAGGATGAATACGATAATAATAGTACGCACGAAACGTTCACATTATAATACTGCTCTACTGTAATTATTTAGTTGGCCTTTTGATGTAACACAGATGGTGTTCGGACGCGAAATACGAAATTAATAATTAAATCAGGTTGATGTCAGTTTAATGTTTTTCTTTTAAGGCAACTTAATATTTAACAGTTGCGTGCTATTGCGCACTTAAAGCAGAGAACTGAGAACTTGTGTCAAATCGCCCCTCGCGATATTTGTCTGCGACGCATGCGACATCGTGACGACAGAAATTCAATATACCTCTAAATGTCTAAAAGGTTATACAATTCTTGGTAGGTACTCATTGACTAGGTATTTATGTTTATTTTTCTTAACTATTAAGTGGTTTACATTGAACATTCTGTCTGTCATCAACTTCACACTGCATCATACGTAACGAGCGCGTGCAGTAATTCGCTTGTAAACAACACATCAAACTAATACGATTGCTCTTAGTGGCTATAGAAGTCCGTGTCAAAGTTGCTTCCAGATAGTATGTAGCGCTTTCTTTCCTTAATATAAAAAACTGTTCACCGCTTAACCGCTTGATAAACGGTACGCACGACGGCAACGACGACGCATGCCGCTAAGGCAAAGCGATTCCTCGCGTCCCCCACCTCATTTTCTTCCATTCAACGTCTCAACACTATCCCATATTTTTTTCTCATTTAATGGTATAGGATAGGAGACGGATACGCTTTCATACAATCTTGGGCCGAGATGTAAAAAGATGAAAGTGGTATCAATTAATAGCTTGCACATCGATCACTGAAAATTCTGCGAATTTTGGCTATCTGAGAGCAGAGTCTTAGTAAAAGTGAGGTTATGTAACAACTTATACTTAACAGCTGATTTTTGAAAAACATTTTTCAAATAATTTTTTATTCTGTTCAATTAAATTCCAAATCACCAGTTCTACAGCTTCATCAAATATGCTGCTAAAATTAGGGATACTCTTGGTATTTCCAATAGCTGAGAAACTTCGTTGCGCAGTAGGTGAGAATATTCCAGCAAATCCATGTATATGCGACTTGGTTTTCCATACAATCTATTTTGTCAAGATGCAGTAGCCATCTAGAACATCTTATAGCAACGTCATGTTCTGGATATGCTTTTCTGTGAAAGTCTGTTCCCGTCTAGATCTGTGCTTGAATAGTTATATGTCAGTCATAAATGTGATTATTCCCAGGGATATAATATTAGGGGTTAAAGTATGAAATTGCCGTTTTATTGCAATAGG